TCGTCTACTTCCTCCACTCCCTCCGCTTCCTCCACCCCCTCCGCTTCCTCCACTCCCTCCACTTCCCAACGCCTCTGCTTTGTTTCTTCCAACTCAATCCATCGTTTCATGACTACCACGAACATTGACGCCACTGTAACTGCTATTATTGCCCTTCTCGGTTCTATACCTCATGTCTTCTCTCTTCCTCCCCTACTTCTCTTCTCCTCCCATCCAAAATGGTCCTTTGTACAAGCCGTTGCCAAAAGCATGCACCCATCCCTGACCTCGCTTCTGTTCTCAATCCCCTTTATCCTCCCCCCATCTTCTTTCTTTTGCCGATAAATTGTTTGTAATACGCATTCACCGCCCCCGCCCTCCCAGTCACCCCTCTTTCCAATTACCCCCGCCCTCCCAATCACCTCATCACCCGTCTTTCCAACAGATGATAACGGGTGACTCCCTTCCCCCACCCCTTGGGTCCCTCCTCCCTCCCTCACTCTCTGTGTGGGCCCGCATCGCCCTCTTCCTCCTCCTCCGCCCTTCCCCCTCCCATTCCGCCTCCCATTCCGCCCAACACCAACACCAACACCAACACCAAGACCAGCAACAAGAAGAACACGACAACATCCACCACCAAGACCAGCACCACCAAGACCAGCACCACCAAGACCAACAACAAGAAGAACACGACAACATCCACCACCAAGACCAGCACCACCAACAACAGCACGAGCGCTGGCAGCCGTACATCTCATCGCTCCCGCCATTCAGGGCCGTTGATTCCACGGTCAGTGCTCTCAAGCATCATAACTTGGTTTTGAGTCGACTCAAAACTCGACTCAAATCTTTTTAGTTGACTCAAAACTGGGCCGTTGATTTCACGGTCGGTCAGTGCTCTCAAACATCATAACCAGCACGGCCGTTGATTCCAGCTTTGTGTGTGTGACCGTTGTTGAGTCGACCCAAACGTCTGAACATCGACCAACAACAGCACGAGCGCTGGCAGCCGTACATCTCATCGCCCTCCCTGCATCACAGCCGTTGATTCCACGGTCAGTGATCTTAAGCTGAACAGCTAGCCTTGTGTGACTGTTGAGTCAACAGCTCAACACATCTCTCCCCTTTTTTGAGACGTCTCGAAACAGCTAGCCCTGTGTGACTGTTGAGTCGCAAGGAGTTTTTGAGAATTCTCTCCCCTTTTCTCTCCTTCCACGAATGTCTATTCGGCGCCTTAGATACTCGTTTCTCCCCCTCCCAACATCCCCCTTTCCCCCCCCTCCTTTTATCCCTCCGCCAGGTCTGGTTAGGGGAGCACAAAGGGGGCCATGCGTCTGGTCTATGCTTCTGGACTAAAAGCGTAGTGTTGAGTCGACTCATAAAAGGGCCATGCTTCTGGACTAAAAGCGTAGCGTTGAGTCGACTCATAAAAGGGCCATGCTTCTGGACTAAAAGCGTAGCGTTGAGTCGACTCATAAAAGGGCCATGCTTCTGGACTAAAAGCGTAGTGTTGAGTCGACTCATAAAAGGGCCATGCTTCTGGACTAAAAGCGTAGCGTTGAGTCGACTCATAAAAGGGCCATGCTTCTGGACTAAAAGCGTAGCGTTGAGTCGACTCATAAAAGGGCCATGCTTCTGGACTAAAAGCGTAGCGTTGAGTCGACTCATAAAAGGGCCATGCTTCTGGACTAAAAGCGTAGTGTTGAGTCGACTCATAAAAGGGCCATGCTTCTGGACTAAAAGCGTAGCGTTGAGTCGACTCATAAAAGGGCCATGCTTCTGGACTAAAAGCGTAGCGTTGAGTCGACTCATAAAAGGGCCATGCTTCTGGACTAAAAGCGTAGCGTTGAGTCGACTCATAAAAGGGCCATGCTTCTGGACTAAAAGCGTAGTGTTGAGTCGACTCATAAAAGGGCCATGCTTCTGGACTAAAAGCGTAGCGTTGAGTCGACTCATAAAAGGGCCATGCTTCTGGACTAAAAGCGTAGCGTTGAGTCGACTCATAAAAGGGCCATGCTTCTGGACTAAAAGCGTAGCGTTGAGTCGACTCATAAAAGGGCCATGCTTCTGGACTAAAAGCGTAGTGTTGAGTCGACTCATAAAAGGGCCATGCTTCTGGACTAAAAGCGTAGCGTTGAGTCGACTCATAAAAGGGCCATGCTTCTGGACTAAAAGCGTAGTGTTGAGTCGACTCATAAAAGGGCCATGCTTCTGGACTAAAAGCGTAGCGTTGAGTCGACTCATAAAAGGGCCATGCTTCTGGACTAAAAGCGTAGCGTTGAGTCGACTCATAAAAGGGCCATGCTTCTGGACTAAAAGCGTAGTGTTGAGTCGACTCATAAAAGGGCCATGCTTCTGGACTAAAAGCGTAGTGTTGAGTCGACTCATAAAAGGGCCATGCTTCTGGACTAAAAGCGTAGCGTTGAGTCGACTCATAAAAGGGCCATGCTTCTGGACTAAAAGCGTAGCGTTGAGTCGACTCATAAAAGGGCCATGCTTCTGGACTAAAAGCGTAGTGTTGAGTCGACTCATAAAAGGGCCATGCTTCTGGACTAAAAAGCGCCCTGAACATTTGTTTCTCCCCCTCTCAAAATATCACACCACCCCCTCCCCCCCCCCCGGTCCTTCCTCCCCCCTCCCCCCCTCCCGGTCCTTCCTCCCCCCTCCCCCCCCCCCCGGTCCTTCCTCCCCCCTCCCCCTTGATCAGGTGTGGTGGGGGCAGCACGAGAGGGCCATGCTGCTGCCCTCACTGTACAACGACACACGAGATTGCCTCAACTATTCCTCCTTTCTCCACCTCCCAACATACCTCCCCTACCCTCTCCCCATCTACCAGGTGTGGTGGGGGCAGCACGAGAGGGCCATGCTGCTGCCATCGCTGTACAACGACACACAAGATCGGACGGCTCTTATTCAATCTGAGTTCGCCACCATCCAATCGGTAACACACTGCCAATTGCCCTTGCTGGCTTGCCCTTTCTTGCTGGCTTGCCTTTCTTGCTGGCTTGCCCTTTCTTGCTGGCTTGCCCTTTCTTGCTGGCTTGCCCTTTCTTGCTGGCTTGCCCTTTCTTGCTGGCTTGCCCTTTCTTGCTGGCTTGCCCTTTCTTGCTGGCTTGCCCTTTCTTGCTGGCTTGCCCTTTCTTGCTGGCTTGCCCTTTCTTGCTGGCTTGCCCTTTCTTGCTGGCTTGCCCTTTCTTGCTGGCTTGCCCTTTCTTGCTGGCTTGCCCTTTCTTGCTGGCTTGCCCTTTCTTGCTGGCTTGCCCTTTCTTGCTGGCTTGCCCTTTCTTGCTTGCTTACCCTTTCTTGCTTGCTCATAATAGCATATCACTCACAGTTCTCTCCCTCCCCCCCCTTGCTGCCGCACTCTTTGCTGCCCTCCCTTTGCCCCCCCCCACGTATTGCCACCCCTTGCTAACCGTCCAACCTTTTGTTTTAGCTCGTGCACGCCTCCCCCCTCCCCTTCCCTCCTCCTCTTCTCCCTTTCTTGTCAGTTGAAGACAGGTGAGCTGCAAAGACCTTGAACTATCCTTCTCCCCTTTCCTCCTCTTCTCCCCTTTTCTCTCCCTATTCCCCCCTCCAGGCGACACCCATCACCCACACCTGCACTGTTCCCCGTTTCTCCCCCTCATCATTCCACCATCCCTCCTCCTCTTCTCCCCTTCTCTCCTCCTATTCCCCCTCCAGGCTCTCACCCATCACCCACACCTGCATTCGTTCCTCCCGAACCTGACCTACGACCAGTTCTGCCATGCCTACTCGCTAGGTACGGCATGTGATGCATTTACAGAACTAGTGCAGACTGGTGCAGGTGCAGAGTCAAACCTGCCTTGAATGGTGCAGGTGCAGAGTCAAACCTGCCTTGACTGGTGGAGGTGCAGCGTCAAGCCTGCCTTGACTGGTGCAGGTGCAGCGTCGAGCCTGCCTTGACTGGTGCAGGTGCAGCGTCAAGCCTGCCTTGACTGGTGGAGGTGCAGCGTCAAGCCTGCCTTGACTGGTGCAGGTGCAGCGTCGAGCCTGCCTTGACTGGTGCAGGTGCAGCGTCAAGCCTGCCTTGACTTGTGCAAGCTGGGTCAAACTTGGGCTGGCTGGGGTGCAGGGTGGGTCAGGGTGGGGCAGAGTGGGGCAGGTTAGGCAGGGTGGGGCAGCTTTCATACAACAGTGCGACATAGGGCCAAGATGCTAGCTCACTAGGTGTGGATCAAGTTCTCCTTTTCCCACCCCCCTCCTCCAACTCCCACCCCACCCCCTCCTCCACTCTCTCTGACTCACTTTCCCTCCTCTCCCCTTCCCTCCCCTGCCTGCCGCAGCACAGTGTGTTCCCGGGCGTGGGGGATCGAAGCTTTGGGCAATCTTGCTCTGGTGAGTGAGTGAGTGATTAATTGCTGCCCTGCTGTTACAGGGTGTTTTCCAAACAGATCATAAGTACCCTCCAAATTTCACGGGTGTGGGGAACCTCATGCACGGACATGGTTAATTACCCGCTCACACACTCTCCTCCCACACACAATCTCCTCCCACACACACTCTCCTCCCTCTCACACTCTCCTCCCTCACCACCCCTCATCATTTCTCACCACCCCTCACCATTTCTCACCTCCCATCACCACTCCTCACCACCCCTCACCATTTCTCACCTCCCCTCACCACTCCTTACCACTCCTCGCCACCCATCACCACCCTTCACTCATTCCCAGCAACCCCCAGGTAGCTTTTGCCGACATGGTAAACCACAACCCTCACACGCCCACACACGCTTCTCCTCCCATACCCCCCCCACCACCCCGCTGCACCCATCACTGCCCCTCATCAAACCCCCCAGGTACCATATGCCGACATGATGAACCACAACCCCCACTCGCACACTCTCCACCCTCACCACCGCTCACCACCCCTCACCACCCCCCAGGTACCATATGCGGACATGATAAACCACAACCCCCACTCACACACTCTGCTGTGCTACGACGAGGAGCAGCAAGCAGTCGAGGTGCCTTTTGAACCCTCTATATCCCTCTCGCTTTCTACACCCTTCTCGCCTTGTATGCCCTGCTTGCATTTCCAACCACAATACCCACTCGCACACTCTGCTGTGCTACGATGAGGAGCAGCACGCCGTTGAGGTGCCCTTCGGGCCCCACCACACCCTTCTCCACACCCTTCTCCACACCCTTCTCCACACCCTTCTCCACACCCTTCTCCACACCCTTCTCCACACCCTTCTCCACACCCTTCTCTACACCCTTCTCTACACCCTTCTCTACACCCTTCTCTACACCCTTCTCTACACCCTTCTCTACACCCTTCTCTACACCCTTCTCTACACCCTTCTCTACACCCTTCTCTACACCCTTCTCCACACCCTTCTCCACACCCTTCTCCACACCCTTCTCCACACCCTTCTCCACACCCTTCTCCACACCCTTCTCCACACCCTTCTCCACACCCTTCTCCACACCCTTCTCTACACCCTTCTCTACACCCTTCTCTACACCCTTCTCTACACCCTTCTCTACACCCTTCTCTACACCCTTCTCTACACCCTTTCTACACCCTTCTCCACACCCTTCTCCACACCCTTCTCCACACCCTTCTCCACACCCTTCTCTACACCCTTCTCCACATCCTTCTCCACACCCTTCTCCACACCCTTCTCTACGCCCTTCTCTACACCCTTCTCCACACCCTTCTCCACACCCTTCTCCACACCCTTCTCCACACCCTTCTCCACACCCTTCTCTACACCCTTCTCTACACCCTTCTCTACATCCTTCTCTACACCCTTCTCCACACCCTTCTCCACACCCTTCTCCACACCCTTCTCCACACCCTTCTCCACACCCTTCTCCACACCCTTCTCCACACCCTTCTCCACACCCTTCTCCACACCCTTCTCCACACCCTTCTCCACACCCTTCTCTACACCCTTCTCTACACCCTTCTCCACACCCTTCTCCACACCCTTCTCTACACCTTCTCTACCCTTCTCTACACCCTTCTCTACACCCTTCTCTACACCCTTCTCTACACCCTTCTCTACACCCTTCTCTACACCCTTCTCTACACCCTTCTCTACACCCTTCTCTACACCCTTCTCTACACCCTTCTCTACACCCTTCTCCACACCCTTCTCCACACCCTTCTCCACACCCTTCTCCACACCCTTCTCCACACCCTTCTCCACACCCTTCTCCACACCCTTCTCCACACCCTTCTCCACACCCTTCTCCACACCCTTCTCTACACCCTTCTCTACACCCTTCTCTACGCCCTTCTCTACACCCTTCTCCACACCCTTCTCCACACCCTTCTCCACACCCTTCTCCACACCCTTCTCCAAACCCTTCTCTACACCCTTCTCTACACCCTTCTCTACATCCTTCTCTACACCCTTCTCCACACCCTTCTCCACACCCTTCTCCACACCCTTCTCCACACCCTTCTCCACACCCTTCTCCACACCCTTCTCCACACCCTTCTCCACACCCTTCTCCACACCCTTCTCCACACCCTTCTCCACACCCTTCTCTACACCCTTCTCCACACCCTTCTCCACACCCTTCTCCACACCCTTCTCCACACCCTTCTCCACACCCTTCTCTACACCCTTCTCTACACCCTTCTCCACACCCTTCTCCACACCCTTCTCTACACCCTTCTCCACACCCTTCTCCACACCCTTCTCTACACCCTTCTCTACACCCTTCTCTACACCCTTCTCTACACCCTTCTCTACACCCTTCTCTACACCCTTCTCTACACCCTTCTCCACACCCTTCTCCACACCCTTCTTCACACCCTTCTCCACACCCTTCTCCACACCCTTCTCTACACCCTTCTCCACATCCTTCTCCACACCCTTCTCCACACCCTTCTCTACGCCCTTCTCTACACCCTTCTCCACACCCTTCTCCACACCCTTCTCCACACCCTTCTCCACACCCTTCTCCACACCCTTCTCTACACCCTTCTCTACACCCTTCTCTACATCCTTCTCTACACCCTTCTCCACACCCTTCTCCACACCCGTCTCCACACCCTTCTCCACACCCTTCTCCACACCCTTCTCCACACCCTTCTCCACACCCTTCTCCACACCCTTCTCCACACCCTTCTCTACACCCTTCTCCACACCCTTCTCTACACCCTTCTCTACACCCTTCTCTACATCCTTCTCCACACCCTTCGCCACACCCTTCTCTACACCCTTCTCTACACCCTTCTCTACACCCTTCTCCACACCCTTCTCCACACCCTTCTCTACACCCTTCTCCACACCCTTCTCCACACCCTTCTCCACACCCTTCTCCACACCCTTCTCCACACCCTTCTCCACACCCTTCTCCACACCCTTCTCCACACCCTTCTCCACACCCTTCTCCACACCCTTCTCCACACCCTTCTCTACACCCTTCTCTACACCCTTCTCTACACCCTTTTCCACACCCTTCTCCACACCCTTCTCTACACCCTTCTCCACACCCTTCTCCACACCCTTCTCCACACCCTTCTCCACACCCTTCTCTACACCCCTCTCTACACCCTTCTCCACACCCTTCTCTACACCCTTCTCTACACCCTTCTCTACATCCTTCTCCACACCCTTCTCCACACCCTTCTCTACACCCTTCTCCACACCCTTCTCCACACCCTTCTCCACACCCTTCTCTACATTCTTCTCCACACCCTTCTCCACACCCTTCTCTACACCCTTCTCTACATCCTTCTCCACACCCTTCTCCACACCCTTCTCTACACCCTTCTCCACACCCTTCTCCACACCCTTCTCTACACCCTTCTCTACACCCTTCTCCACACCCTTCTCTACACCCTTCTCTACACCCTTCTCTACACCCTTGTCTACACCCTTCTCCACACCCTTCTCCACACCCTTCTCTACACCCTTCTCTACATCCTTCTCCACACCCTTCTCCACACCCTTCTCTACACCCTTCTCCACACCCTTCTCCACACCCTTCTCCACACCCTTCTCTACATCCTTCACTACACCCTTCTCTACACCCTTCTCCACACCCTTCTCCACACCCTTCTCCACACCCTTCTCTACACCCTTCTCCACACCCTTCTCCACACCCTTCTCTACACCCTTCTCTACACCCTTCTCCACACCCTTCTCTACACCCTTCTCTACACCCTTCTCTACACCCTTCTCTACACCCTTCTCTACACCCTTCTCTACACCCTTCTCCACACCCTTCTCCACACCCTTCTCCACACCCTTCTCCACACCCTTCTCCACACCCTTCTCTACACCCTTCTCCACATCCTTCTCCACACCCTTCTCCACACCCTTCTCTACGCCCTTCTCTACACCCTTCTCCACACCCTTCTCCACACCCTTCTCCACACCCTTCTCCACACCCTTCTCCACACCCTTCTCTACACCCTTCTCTACACCCTTCTCTACATCCTTCTCTACACCCTTCTCCACACCCTTCTCCACACCCGTCTCCACACCCTTCTCCACACCCTTCTCCACACCCTTCTCCACACCCTTCTCCACACCCTTCTCCACACCCTTCTCCACACCCTTCTCTACACCCTTCTCCACACCCTTCTCTACACCCTTCTCTACACCCTTCTCTACATCCTTCTCCACACCCTTCGCCACACCCTTCTCTACACCCTTCTCTACACCCTTCTCTACACCCTTCTCCACACCCTTCTCCACACCCTTCTCTACACCCTTCTCCACACCCTTCTCCACACCCTTCTCCACACCCTTCTCCACACCCTTCTCCACACCCTTCTCCACACCCTTCTCCACACCCTTCTCCACACCCTTCTCCACACCCTTCTCCACACCCTTCTCCACACCCTTCTCTACACCCTTCTCTACACCCTTCTCTACACCCTTTTCCACACCCTTCTCCACACCCTTCTCTACACCCTTCTCCACACCCTTCTCCACACCCTTCTCCACACCCTTCTCCACACCCTTCTCTACACCCCTCTCTACACCCTTCTCCACACCCTTCTCTACACCCTTCTCTACACCCTTCTCTACATCCTTCTCCACACCCTTCTCCACACCCTTCTCTACACCCTTCTCCACACCCTTCTCCACACCCTTCTCCACACCCTTCTCTACATTCTTCTCCACACCCTTCTCCACACCCTTCTCTACACCCTTCTCTACATCCTTCTCCACACCCTTCTCCACACCCTTCTCTACACCCTTCTCCACACCCTTCTCCACACCCTTCTCTACACCCTTCTCTACACCCTTCTCCACACCCTTCTCTACACCCTTCTCTACACCCTTCTCTACACCCTTGTCTACACCCTTCTCCACACCCTTCTCCACACCCTTCTCTACACCCTTCTCTACATCCTTCTCCACACCCTTCTCCACACCCTTCTCTACACCCTTCTCCACACCCTTCTCCACACCCTTCTCCACACCCTTCTCTACATCCTTCACTACACCCTTCTCTACACCCTTCTCCACACCCTTCTCCACACCCTTCTCCACACCCTTCTCTACACCCTTCTCCACACCCTTCTCCACACCCTTCTCTACACCCTTCTCTACACCCTTCTCCACACCCTTCTCTACACCCTTCTCTACACCCTTCTCTACACCCTTGTCTATACCCTTCTCCACACCCTTCTCCACACCCTTCTCTACACCCTTCTCTACATCCTTCTCCACACCCTTCTCCACACCCTTCTCTACACCCTTCTCCACACCCTTCTCCACACCCTTCTCCACACCCTTCTCTACATCCTTCTCTACACCCTTCTCTACACCCTTCTCCACACCCTTCTCCACACCCTTCTCCACACCCTTCTCTACACCCTTCTCCACACCCTTCTCCACACCCTTCTCCACACCCTTCTCCACACCCTTCTCCACACCCTTCTCTACACCCTTCTCTACACCCTTCTCCACACCCTTCTCCACACCCTTCTCTACACCCTTCTCCACACCCTTCTCCACACCCTTCTCCACACCCTTCTCTACATCCTTCACTACACCCTTCTCTACACCCTTCTCCACACCCTTCTCCACACCCTTCTCCACACCCTTCTCTACACCCTTCTCCACACCCTTCTCCACACCCTTCTCTACACCCTTCTCTACACCCTTCTCCACACCCTTCTCTACACCCTTCTCTACACCCTTCTCTACACCCTTGTCTATACCCTTCTCCACACCCTTCTCCACACCCTTCTCTACACCCTTCTCTACATCCTTCTCCACACCCTTCTCCACACCCTTCTCTACACCCTTCTCCACACCCTTCTCCACACCCTTCTCCACACCCTTCTCTACATCCTTCTCTACACCCTTCTCTACACCCTTCTCCACACCCTTCTCCACACCCTTCTCCACACCCTTCTCTACACCCTTCTCCACACCCTTCTCCACACCCTTCTCCACACCCTTCTCCACACCCTTCTCCACACCCTTCTCTACACCCTTCTCTACACCCTTCTCCACACCCTTCTCCACACCCTTCTCTACACCCTTCTCCACACCCTTCTCCACACCCTTCTCTACACCCTTCTCCACACCCTTCTCTACACCCTTCTCTACACCCTTCTCTACACCCTTCTCTACACCCTTCTCTATGCCCTGCTTGTAATTCCAACCCCAATCCTCACTCGGACTCTTTGCCGTGCTACAACGAGGAGCAACAAGCAAATGAGGTACCTTCGTCGCCAGTTGAGGTACCTGTCTCCTGCTGCGTTGAAGTTCAGTTCTCCTGTTTCCTTGCAGCGCCTTGAAAATGCATTTAACGAGCCTCTCAACTCAAAGCTTAGCCCCCAGCACCCTTGCAGAGTAGAGCTGGATTCGAACCGCAGCAAGCCTTTAATGCATTTAACGGGCCTCTCAACTCAAAGCTAAGCCCCCACCCCAGCACCCATTCTCGTGCACTCCTCCCTGTAGTTTCCATCCATCCTCTCCCAAACTATTCTTTTGCTCTGTGGCCTCTTTCCCTCTTTTCAAATCATAGCTGACCCGCTCCTGAAAGTTTTTTTTTCCCCGATTTGTTTTTTCCATCCTGCCCACTGCCCTTTTTCCAGATCATTGCTGACCGGGACTACGAACCAGGGGAGCAGGTGATAAGCGGTGCAGGTGATAAGGGGAGCAGGTGATAAGCGGTGCAGGTGATAAGGGGAGCAGGTGATAAGCGGTGCAGGTGATAAGGGGAGCAGGTGATAAGTGGTGCAGGTGATAAGGAGAGCAGGTGATAAGCGGTGCAGGTGATAAGGGGAGCAGGTGATAAGCGGTGCAGGTGATAAGGGGAGCAGGTGATAAGCGGCGCAGGTGATAAGGGGAGCAGGTGATAGGCAGGCGGTGCAGGTTATTATTAGATCATGTGCAGTTCAAATGTATGATGTGGTGATAGTTACGTTGCCTCTTTACTGTTGTTATGAAGTTTCTGAATTGTCCACTGCTATCGGTCTTGTGAAATGAGGGTGTTTGTGAGACGTCTCATTGCTATCATATTACGTGTCCATTGCTATCTGTCTGGACCTGTCTGGACCTGTCTGGACCGTGAATCACATGCTTCTCACCCTTGATGTCTTTCCTTCACTTTGTGCCTTCTCCTGCCCTCCGCCCTCCCACATCTCTCCCCCGCCATCCGCATCCCCCTCTCCCTCCCCCTCTCCTTCCCCCTCTCCTCCCCCCTCCCCATGACCCCTCATACCACGCAGGTGCGAGTGAGCTATGGCGATCTCTCCAGCGGTGTGCTGGCTTTTGACTCAGAGCAGCCCCCCTTTTGAGGCGCCTCAAAAGCTTTTGACTCAGAGCAGCCCCCCACCCCTTCTTTTCCGTCCCGCCTCCGCACTCCCCCTCCCGTGCCCCATCACCCCCCCTCATCCCACCCAGGTGTTAGTGAGCTACGGAGATCTCTCCAGTGGTGTGTTGGCGCTTGACTTTGGCTTCACTGTGCCTGACAACCCGCACGACTCTGTGAGTGCCGCACGACTCTGTGAGCGAGCGGGGCGTGACCCTTCCCTGCTGTCACCTGTCCAGTCGATTCAAAAATCTCCAGTGGTGAGCTGGCGGTGGACTTTTGGCTTCACTGTGCCTGACAACCCGCATGATTCGGTGAGTGGGGCATGACTGTGTGAGTGGGGCATGACTGTGTGAGTGGGGCATTGCTCTGCTGGTGGAGGGGGCCTTCTGGGGGAGGGGCCTTTTTGGGGAGGGGCCTTCTTGGGGAGGGGCCTTCTGGGGGAGGCGCAGCTGCTGCCTTTTGACCCGCCTTGCCTCAGGATACTCTTAGCACCTTGTATGGCCTTGGCACACCCTCCTTGGCACACCCTCCTTGGCACACCCTCCTTGGCACACCCTCCTTGGCACACCCTCCTTGGCACACCCTCCTTGGCACACCCTCCTTGGCACGTGGAGCTGTGTGTGCTTATAACGAGCAGCAGCAACCCCCGTGACGCACCTCTCAATGTGCCCAAGAGGTGGCTTCTGGGGGAGGCACAGCTGCTGCCTCATGCCATCCTCTTCCTCCTCCTCCCCCCCATTCCCTCGCCCTCGTTCCCAAGCAGGTGGAGCTGTGTGTGCTTGTAGCCAGCAGCACCACCCCCCACGACACACAGTTCAACGAGGCCAAGAGGCGCCTTCTGGGGGAGGCGCAGCTGCTGCCGTGTGACTCTGCCAGAGGCGCCTGCTTTGTGCTCAAGTGAGTGCGAGTGTGAGTGCGAGTTTGAGTGTGAGTGTGAGTGTGATTATGAGTGTGAGTGTGATTATGAGTGTGAGTGTGATTATGAGTGCGAGTTTGAGTGTGAGTGTAGTTATGAGTGAGTGACTGAGTGCAAGCGTGTGTGTGGCCGCGGTTGTGACTGTGAGTGCGAGTCCAAGGGAGTGTGTCAGGATGGCCGAGTTGGTCTAAGGCGCCAGTTTCAGGTACTGGTCCGAAAGGGCGTGGGTTCAAATCCCACTCCTGACATTGTAGCCCAGACCTTTTGTTGGTCCGAAAGGGCGTGGGTTCAAATCCCACTCCTGACATTGTAGCCCAGAGATTTTGTTAGCTCGTGTTTGCCCTTACTATTCGTCATCCCTTCTACCCTTGCGAGTGCGAGTGCTGCAAGCGAGGCCGTTGTTTCCTGTACAGCAGTTGTTTCCTGTACAGCAGTTGTTTCCTGTACAGCAGTTGTTTCCTGTACAGCAGTTGTTTCCTGTACAGCAGTTGTTTCCTGTACAGCAGTTGTTTCCTGTACAGCAGTTGTTTCCTGTACAGCAGTTGTTTCCTGTACAGCAGTTGTTTCCTGTACAGCAGTTGTTTCCTGTACAGCAGTTGTTTCCTGTACAGCAGTTGTTTTCTGTACAGCAGTTGTTTTCTGCATCAAAACGGCCATTCTGAATAGAGTCGACTCAGGGGTCTCTTCTGGGGGAGGCGCAGCTGCTGCTGTGTGACTCTGCCAGTGGCGCCTGCTTTGTGCTCAAGTGAGTGCGCGTGCGAGTGTGAGTGAGTATGAGTGTGGGTGCGTGCGAGTGTGAGTGACTATGAGCGTGGGTGCGTGCGAGTGTGAGTGAGTATGAGCGTGGGTGCGTGCGAGTGTGAGTGAGTATGAGCGTGGGTGCGTGCGAGTGTGAGTGAGTATGAGCGTGGGTGCGTGCGAGTGTGAGTGAGTATGAGCGTGGGTGCGTGCGAGTGTGAGTGAGTATGAGCGTGGGTGTGTGCGAGTGTGAGTGAGTATGAGCGTGGGTGTGTGCGTGCTGCAGCAGAAGCCATTGTTTTCTGTGGTAGGAGCCATTGCTGTGTGGAGTCAACTCAAAGGTCTCTTCTGGGGGAGGCGCTTCTGCTGCCGTGTGACTCTGCACCTGCTTTGTGCTCAAGTGAGTGCGAGTGGAGTGAGTGTGAGTGGGAGTGAGAGTGGGGGTGTGAGTGCAAGTGGGAATGGGAGTGTGTGAGATTGTGAGTGCGAGTGTGTGAGGTCGTATCCCCGGCTGGTGGCAAGATTGGTTAGTGGCATGCCACCAACTCGGAAAACACGTGGAGGAATAAACCTCCTGGTGTCAAGAGGGGATGCTTCGGAAAGTTGAAAGGACACGTCGCAACACCCGCACTGCGACATCTGACAAATCGCCTGACACCCAAACACACGCAAAATTGCAGATCGCACACACACATCGCACGCGCGCAAGCCAACGTCTAAGTGGTGCGAAACCGTCAAAATTCCCGGCAGGAATTGGCAACACCACCTCAATCCCAACTGCCGTGCACTCAAGATCCAGCAACCACAACTCACAAACTTCGGCGTGGAATTTCAGATCGTCATACCACACCACGCTGCATTCCACCAAGCATTCCATCAATCGCACGAGCATGCCACCTCGTAAAAGTCGCAGCCAGAAAGGCAAGCAGAAAGCAGACGAGGAGGAGCCCTGGGTAGATCCTCCTTATGTAGCCTGGATGAAAGAGCAGGAAGCACAAGGAGCTTCCCGTCCACGCATCAAGAACCTGGCTGCTGACGGCCCTGGGTCAACATCCCAGTACATCGCGCACGACGAAGATGGCCCCGCAGAAAATGTCGATGCGGATACGGATGTGGACTCCGAGGATCTCGACGAAATACTGTCATCGAGCGAGAGTGAGACGGATTCGGACAACTCTGACGATGACGAAAGCGAAAACGGGGATGACGACAGACGCGACCCGTCCGACCGGAAAAAGGGTGGGCGAAAGCGCCGTAGAGGCAAGAAGGCGGTGAACAAGGCAAGAAACTACAATACTGAGTGGTCGAAGGAGGAGTTGGTTGAATTGGCAGCTGCAATGTGGAATACCCGCGACGATATCAAGGCCACGCAAGGGAAACAGGGGTCACAGTACTGGAGAAAACTACGGAAACACATGAAGGAGGCGAACGAGGACTGGGATCGTGAGAGCGAGGCCATGAAGCATGCTTGGAAGCGCATCATGGCGATGTACCGCAAGCTTGCGCGTGCGGACATGGGATCCGGCAACAAGGCCACGCAGAAACCGAAATGGTGGGGTTACGTCCAAAATCTGAAGCATGGTACGGCTGCCGTGCGCCCGCATGTGACGGATGGCGGAGGCGCGGGAGAGACTCACGTGGACCCGAACGCGTACATTCCCGGCCCTCAGGCCGGCCACGCCGGCCCATCTGCTGCTGGTCCAAGCCGATCCGGCCAAGGCACACCGGCTCCCCTGGCTGAAGGATCTGGTAAGTTTTGCATGACATGCCTGAAAGATGGTCTTGTAATTGATTCCACCCTATTTGGTACAACATGCATGTTAAACAGGGGAGAGACTAGCCATCTACGCTATGTCACAAATCTGACCCCTACGCGTACATCCCGATGCTCGTTCCACACAGGTGCGGGCACTCCGGGAAGGACTCCAAGGCGCCGCGTCGATGAAACCGCAACCATGGGCGGTGCGCGTCTAATCTCAGATACCATCGTCGCCTGCACTAAAGAAGGCCTGCAGCAGTTAAACCAGATGGCTCAATATGTAGTAGCGGCAATGACGTTGGCGGCACACGTGGTACCACCGCCTTCGGCTGCTGCCCGTCCTGATACTGCACCCGCCCATCCCCAGCAACCAGAGCGCGACTCGGCGGGCGAGGCAAGAGGCACGGCGCGCACTCTGTTCGCCGTGCCAGGGCAGCCGAGTGACACCCCGCGAGCGCCACCTACGCAGCCAGAGTAGGGCGCCGTGCCCGATGACGCCGAAGGTATGCGCGGTGAATGTGCTTACCGAAATGTTTTCGCCGTTTTTTCAGCGCGGCTGCAGTAGGTCTTGATATCTCCGGCCAGTTATAACTAGACATGCCAGATCGTGTCCACCACTGTGCGTTTTGGGCCGTCCAGTACGACGGCCTGGGATTCGCCGTCCGCATGCGTGGCGTACCCATGCAGGTCAGGATGTTATGCAATATAATGATGCATGCTGTCCCCGCACATACCCTCCACAGCTTGCATTCGTGGCGCCTGCCGAACAGCCGCCACCGGTTTTTGAGCGCGCCGATGGTCCGCTCAACGACCATGCGAGTTGCCGACTGCACTTTGTTGAAGCTCTGCTCCCATCTCTTCATTAACCGCTTCCTTGGTGCATGCAGTGGCGTAAGACAGTAATCCCGCAAAGGGTAGGCAGCGTCCCCCACCAACTGGTATGGAGCGATTTCACCACTTTCAAGTCTGCCGTATAGTGCCGACTGCGTGAATACGCATTGGTCATGGTTTGAGCCAGGGTTGCCAACGTTGTAATCCCAAATCAGGCCCCGCACATCGCATGTCACCTGTAGTTGGACAGAGTAATGAGACTTTCGGTTGTAATATTCCTGTCTGTGCCCCTCCATCCCGCGGACTTGAATATGGGTGCCATCTATGGCCCCAATGACGTTAGGGACTCCCTTCACATCTCTGAAATCTGCAGCCATAGCTGGCCTGGCTTCTGGTGGGGGAAACCTGACCCACTCACGTTTGAAACGACGTGGGAAGTGCATTAGGAAAGCATCAACTAGTCGATGGAGTAGCGATTTAGGGATGCCAAATGTCACAGCCATGTCTACGTAGGTTAGCCCCGAGGCGAAGTACTTGATAGGAATAAGAACACACAGTTCAATAGGGATGTCATGACGCTCCACAAAGTAGGATAAGGGACCTTGCATGGCTGCAGTGATGTACGTCAGGATGTCGCGTGTTATGCGGAAAACGTCTTGAAACTCCACGTCGGTCATGATGCGGATATCCTCCTGCCACTCGCGGATGCGTGTTCTTCGGCGCTTCCGGCGAACAACACGGCGCTGCTGTGCTAGACGCGCAGCTTCCTCGTCGACGTGGACAACCCTGGTATGATTGTCTCTCAAGTTTAGACACTCTTCGCTGGCTCTACCTACCATGGGCAACCACACTAGTATGTAATAGGCACACCAGAGAAGCATGACGGCTAGAAGCGCTGCCGAGACTTTAGGGTCCATGTTCCTAACTTTCTGATGAAACCAGCTAGGCTTCTTGTTTCCGAGGCACTTATGTTTGGCAATTTATTTTGGTGAAAAAGGGATTCTTGGCCGTGGGCCTGGACATGTTAGGAGACGTGCAAGAGTGGCTGTTTCGTGTGCATCGACTATGATAGTGAGGATTTTGCGCAGCTATCGTTCAGTCGGTGCTGGTGCTGATGTTAGGACGTGGTGACGGTCGTGGGGATATCCGAACGTGTGAAATGTCGGTTGGTTGGAATTGGCGGTCAACAATCTGTCGTGCAGATGGTCGCACTGGTTGGGTTTGGTTTGATGTGCAGGTCGCCGGTACATCGCCCAATGTTGCACACATTGACACAAAGCTGGAGCCGCACCCACGCGCGGCTCCAGTTGGGGGCAAGCGAATTTCCCGCTTGCCCCCAACAGTACCTTGCCACCAGCGGGGGATACGACCTGAGTGTGCGGGAGTGTGAGTGCGAGTGGAGTGCGTGTGAGTGTGAGTGCAAGTGGATTGAGTGTGAGTGTGAGTGCGAGTGGATTGAGTGTGAGTGTGAGTGCGAGTGGATTGAGTGTGAGTGTGAGTGTGCAGGATTGACTGCCAGTCATAGGATGCCTGCATGGAGATTTTCCCCTCTTCTGCCTGCATTCAGCTCAAGTGAGTGATTTTTGCGTATTTTAAAAAATTATAAAATAACTCCAAAGCATTTTCAAGAGTGGTTGCGTGCATTTGGCCCAGGTGA